CAAATCACTTTCAGCCCCAGGTCTCTTTTCAACCAGTTTTAACATTCTACCATCAAGTTAAACATGAGCAGGAAGAGCAGGGAGGGTGATGCAAGAGCCGTTTGCACTAGAATGCTACAAAGCCAAAATTCAGATGACAAATCTTCTTCTGCTGTATAACAATCAGTGCACCATTTGCAGTTGAAGCACCACCAAATGCTGCTACCAGAAATTCAAAGGCCTTACTTAACGTCTGTCTTACTGATATAGTCAGATCTTTTGGTTAGCCATGAACTTGTGCTTGGGATTGCTGATCAGAAGCAGCTTGCCCATAACTGGGCAGTGGCTCCTGTGTGAACTCACAGGAGCTAGGAATTACTGCTGTACACTGGGGCAAACTGCTGCTGCCTAGCTTTTCAGAGTAGCTTACCCCTGCGCAAGAAACCGCTGGCTCTCCGTTCCAGCTGGATTCTTCTTGGTGGAGGAATCACTGTCTCGTACAGCAGCGCAATATTGATATTTTGCCTCCAAGTAGGTCAGTGACGTATTTGTTGGGTCGCTGCAGGTCCTGTGCAGCAGGTTCCCCCGAAGCTTGGAACTTCCTTGGAGGTACCAGCTCGCACTGAGACAGTGTGCTAAACTGGCTCTGCTGGAGGCAGCTTTCCATAGCATCTCTGGACCTTGCTTGATATTCCTCTGCGCTCGTCAAGTGAGGATTGCTGCTCACAGGACTTGAAAGCTAGTGTGAAACAACCTTCTCTCTTTTACTCTTCCCACAACTCTCCTATGTTGGATATGCCTTTTACCAGCTCTGTTACAGTCTGACCAGTTTATTAGCCTTTGAAAGTCTCTGCAAGCACTTAGGTGAAACTTGCTAAAGGAAGAGCTAAAATCCATGCAAGCATTCCTACTGAGCACACTGAAGCATCACCTCGTGGCTCCCCCCCAGGGGTACCAGGCATGTACTAACTAGCACCTTGCTACAGCTAACAGCGCTGCGCATCATGCATTGTCCCCACAGAATGATTGCTTGTACTTGAACTCAGAGCAACCACAAACCCCGCAGAAATACCAGGTCTGAACAAAGAATGCATTTATAAGCCATGAAAGAGACAAAGAGAGAACTGCTGAGAAAAAGGTGAAAAGCTGGAAATGGGTTGTCTGTGAAAGGGCCTCTGAGATGAGATGGAAAAGAGTGGGAAAATTAGTTCCTAGTCCAAACGAAAGAGGAAAAAAGCTGTGGGGCAGAGGCAGAACTGAGACTGGCTAGCAGAGAAACTGCTCAGCGTGTGGAAGAGCATTGTACTAGATTTCAATTAACCTTGTAGTTTCACATTATGAATTGTGTAATGAGGTCTAAAGTGCCCTAAACTGAAGCACTCACAGGTCAATGCTTTTGCCAGCAAGCTCTTTGCTCCCTGTGAAATGGAATAATAGGATCTCATCACATCTCGCTGATATAATAAAATCAGTAAATTTTAAAAGCACCGCAGTAATGGTGAAAAATATAGAAAACTCAATACAGTTAATAATTCAGTAGTTTTATCAGATAAAACTTCAATAGCATGCATCAGATAAAGCGATGGCCCACATCCCTTGAAGTGGGCAAAATGATTTTACAGCAGAGTCCTTTACCCATTGCTTTAATTGTGCTGTGCACTGAATTAAGTGGAGACTCTCTCAGAAAAGTGGCAGGTAGTCACTGTATCATAGCACCTATGCAGACCTGGCTCAAACTGCTATCAGGGAATCAAACTTAATCCTTTCATTTCGCATAAGCAAGGAAGTAATTTTTTTGGAAAAAATTCTCTTGAAGTCAAAGTCGATGAACATTTTGGTAGAAAGCTATCGCGCACGTACATCAACTGTTGATGTGCCAGAACAGAGATAGGAGAAAGAAAAAAAAAAAAAAAGGTTTCTGAGTAGTCAAGAGTGGAAAACCTTATTTTACTTAGCGGCTGACGCCACCAGGTGGCTAGCTAGTGTAATCGACTGAAAGCCGCAAAGGCATTTTTCTTTTACCTCTGCCTAAACAAGTATTTTCATATAAATACATTTCCAAGTGTGAACTTTTATGTGTGACAAAAAAGATTTTAAAAATAGCTCAAGTAGAAAGGGCTTATTAGTAGAGAGGAAGCATACATGAAAAGAGTATTTCTGGGGGTCAGTGGAATACGTTTATCTAGTTTGTAGGTTAACAGTAAGTCAGCTGGTAAAACAGAAAAATATGAAACAGTGCCAAAGCTCACGGGAAAAAACCCATAATTAATTATGGGTAAAAATATTTCATCCTACATTGTGACTTTTATCATCACTTATTTCCTTTTAGATGGTTAGGATTGTTTAAATGACTCAACATTCCCCTCTCTTTAGGGAAAAAAGCATACGGAAATTGCTTTGGTAGGAAAAATTCTTCCTAAGATAATATTATTGCTGTTATTTAGCTAAGACAGTAATGCTGAAAAGCTTGAAAAATGCTGAAGTCTGGTCTTGTAAGTATAGGACACACAAGAGGGAGATGATGAAATATAGGTGTCAGACCAGTCTCCTGCATGTATCCGGCCAAATCTAAATGCACATTTTCAAACACACCTCAAAATATCAAAATAGAAAACAGTAGTAACAAAAACTTCTTAGACCCAAGTTATCTGTCATCAAAACAATCTGATACGGATGCAGCCTTTTTGCACATCGCTTGATTTGGACTCAAGCAACGTTTTACTGTGATGATCTCGCCAGCAACACAGAGAAACCCTTTGCCTCGTGCACACGTATATGAAACTTAAGCAAGGTTCACCTTATAAAATACCACAGTTACGCTGTATGATTAACTTAATGCCTAAGAGGAGAATTGATTACAAGGAACCATGTAATAACACAGGTTCTCTTCAGCCCTAGCTTCAATGGCTTGTTGTTTTTCATATTACTTTGGGCTTAAAAAATAGCATAGCTATCAGTATATGCCTTGGAGCACACAATATTTCATTTCCAAAATTATATGTATTTTACTTAATTGTTTCGCCAGTGTTTAAGCAACAGAAATTCCCTTTAATATACTCAGCACGCAGTCTCCTGCATGAAATTGCTGTTGCTTTCAAAATGACAAACCTTCACTTTCTTCCTTGAGGTCCTGTAACAAGCTATGCAAAAAGTCACCAGCTTCTTCTGATGTTAGACGTTACGTTGTTCATTTGCCTCTTGACGTCGTCATCCTCTGACGTAGTCCAGCAGTAGATTACCTGACTTTACCTCTCTTCAGGCTTGCAGTAAGGTTAAAAGCCAACCCCCAACCCTTTATGTCTCTAGCTCATCATTCGGTTAAGCTAGAAACGTCTGCTTGCAATAAATACAGCATTATTGTGACCACACTAGCAGAACTGTAACTGCGGTCCACTTGGCAAAGATACATTGCAGGCTTTTTATAGTTCATATATCCTAACGCATTTTATTTCCTTGAAACAACTCGGATATTGACACTTAAAAAATTTGTATGCAGTGCTCTTTCACAGAAATATTTTCGTTAAGGCTGTAGAACTGTTTATTATTATTATTATTATTTTTTTTTAAGACTGGTATGTTTGAAGAGAGCCCTTCCAGACAGACTGATGACTGGCTGTGCAAAAGCAGTATGGGTACTTGTGCTCTGTAGTTAGAGAGTAATCAGTTTTTCCTGTTTTCTTTTTTTTTTTTTCCCTGGCTTTCTTGCTTTATAGCTCTTTGGCAACAGCCAACACCTTCTGAAATAAAAACAGCTATAAAATGAGAAGCAAACCAGTATTCCCTCCTTTACCTTTCACAGATAAATGAATTCATTTTCTTAAACTCTGATTAGTTTCCAACAGGATCGTAGCTTGCATTTTCATCCCTCCTTGTGGGTCTTAAAATTACTTCCATATATTCTCTTATTTATAACAATGTTTCAGAACTATAGACCCCATTCTGTCAATGGGCCAAGACCCTAAAATAAGATCTTAAAAAAATATTTGGATATTAATTCCTATGATAATGTAAGCTATGAACCTGTTGCCGAGAATATTGGTCACTGTGATCACCAGTTTTTGTACTGTATATGTATTTATGTAATATTTGTCATACTAATAACATATCTGCAAGGAAGGCTTTTAACGAGCATAAATTACTTAGAAACACACAAGCAATTAATAAAGCATGTCTGTACTTGGGCTTACAATTTTATCAAACTCCTCTTTGGGGGACTTTGTTGTAAACTGAATGGTTTTTTTTTTCCCCCCTCCAGCTAGGGGAAAATAGCCATATTTAATTAACTGCACATTATGTTTCTTTAGCTGCTGTACACTTCGTGAGAGCTCAGCTTCCCGGTGACTTCCACGGGGAAGATAATACGAGGGTAACAGTCAAAGCATGTGTCTGATGAGGCAAAGTAGTTCAGTAGTGGTTTTCGCATTACATATAATACGCTACTACTGAGTACCTCTAAGGTTAACGCTGCTTTGAGAGAAACAGAGAAAACCACAGAACACTAACAGAGCATTTGCAAGTCTGCTGTGTTTCATTAGGTAGTACTTTTTAGGAAAATAGGACTAAATTAATAGCATTGAGATGACTAGAACTGCTCAGACCTACTAACAAGCAGCTGCATTAGCAGAGCCCTGCAGTCAAGGCGGTTGTTAAACACGGCCTTTCTATTCTGTAGCAGGGCAAACTTCCCACTGGATTTTCATTAAATAATTGTCTTTTTGTGCCGCTTTGACTGAGGACTTGGGCTAAACCGAAGAAAAACAGAACTCGAGAAGGCCGTGTAAGTCCCGGCAGCTTCTGCCAGCGCGGCCCCAGGTACAGCCGGCACGTACTTGGCTGTCGCGACAAGCAAACCCCGATTTTGCAAGCCCGCCTGCGCCCTCGGGCTCGGGGGCAGC